AAGTGATATTACCCTATTAAATACAAATACTTTAAGGTATGAATTAAACTAGCTAATTACCAGGTCTCCAGGTTTGAAACCTTCCAGGTGGTGGCAAACACAAGTATCCAGACTCCCTCAAATTTCCAGATAAGTTATCAAACACATTATTTTTCTAGTACAAGGAGCTAGGTAATCTAGCTTTTGAGGGAGTCCGAACAAGGGGCTAGGTCATCTAGCTTTTGAGGGAGTCCGAACTTCCAGCTTCTAGAGAACTGCCTACTTCTAATTGTCGAACAGGCCGAGAGTGAAATTAGTGAAAAGCCCTACTTAATGAAAATTTCTATGGCCCAAGAACGCTCGAGGATGTGCACTGATTCTCTCAAGCACCATTCTTTCTCCAGGTACTCTGTCCATCTTCTCCGTGGACTGTCTCTCTTTCTTACCTTTGTTTTTAACGTTCTCTCTCTCCATATCCTTTTCCTTTTGGGTTTACAATGCAAAAGTTCATGCTTTTATGAGATTTTTTATGGCCAAGCTACCTGATCGAGTTTCTCTTCAAGTTTTATTATTTATTCACCTTTTAAGATTCCCCATTTACCTTCCCTTATTTCTCTTGCAGATTCATGGAGTATTTTGTGTAATGTCTGATGGATACTTTGGGTGTTATACTGGGTTTACTTTTTATTAGAACCGGAGAAAGGTTTCACTGGCTTTTCTTTGGCAGCAAAACAAGAGGAAATATTTAATGAGTTTTCTTCTAAGAGAGATGATTACTAGCTTGTCTTTCTCTAGCAGCAAAAGGAGAGAAAAATTTAATGGGTTCTCTTTAATTTCGCAATAGAATAGAAGATGAGAGAAGATTCACTGGTATTGTTTTCTTTGAAGCAGAGGAGAGAGAAACGAGAGAATCCCTAGATATAGACTCGGTTTGCTCTTCTATTTTCAGGTGCCATGGACTTCTCAGAGGAATGGAAATCTCAGTTTTCTGTAGGCTCGGTCTTCCCTTGCCCCCGCCTCATCACCGGCGAATCTGCTCACTCCCTTGGCCCCCTCTGCTTTTCACCAATCAACCTTGCAACCCACTTTCTATCGCTAGCAAACACTCCAGTTTGCTATTCTCCTCCACCAACAGCCCAAGACGTCTTTTCCACCGCTGATTGTTTCTATAGACGATCAGATGATGACTTCATTCCTTTCCCTCTTAGCTTCTCCACCACCAAAAGTGCAGTCGGAAAACATTCTTCACGCCATTTTTCTGGGAACCCCCTCCATCTTCTCACTTGTCGCAACGGTGAAAGTCTCATTCTTTTCCCATCTGGAGAGAATTCTGATCCGCTTACTTGTGTAGTAGGCAGGAGAGAGAGAGACAATGGTGGTGGTTTTTCCCTCCTCAAGGATAGTGTTTTCCTTCTTTCTCCAAGTTTCAAGAATCGAATAATTCGGGTCTCTGTGATCTCAACGGCAGGCTGTGCCTCTTCCTCTGAAGTATGCGATCAATTTACAGAGGGTTTTGTTCTACTTTGTTCTCATTATGAGGTTCATCAGCTTAGAGTTGGTGTTAGGAATTCGACACCATTATCACAGAATTTAGCATCAGCCACCTTTAAAAATCAGGTGGCCCATGCTTGTTGGAGTCCATATTTGCTTGAAGAGAGTGCAGTATTGTTGGTTAATGGGGAACTGAGATTATATGACTTAAATTATTGTGTTGGGGTCAAGAATTTGCCTGTGAAATTTAAGGGAGAGTTGGTTTCGAAGAATTTGGGGAGTTTGATTTCAAGAGAGTCTGACAACGATTGGTTTTGTTGTAAATTTGGATGGCATCCTAGGGTTTTGATTGTTACTTCTAAAACCACGGTTTGGATGGTTGATTTTAGGACAAGAAGGTAAAGGTTACAGTTTTAGCAAAGATCGAATTATGCGATTCTGTCAAGCACCATTTCATAGAGAGTGATATATTTCAAGCTTTTTGCAAAGCCAGTTTTGATGGTTTCCTGTTCTCGATGGCTACTAAATACTATCTGTTACTGTTTGACACTAGGAAGCCATTAGATCCTGTATTGCAATGGGATCATCATCTGAATCATGTGCGTTACATTAATATGTATAGATTATCAGATCTAAGACCATCTAATGGAAAACTTAATTGGGCTTCAGATTCAGGTTACGTTATTTTGGTGGGTTCTTTTCGAAATTGTGAATTTAGCCTTTTTTGTTATGGGCCTCATCCTATAGTTGATTTGAAGCCAGGTTGGACCTCTGATAGTGGTTCTTTATATGCTTGGGGTCTTCCATCTGAGATCGCTTTGGTTTCACAGGATTGTTGTTGTGTTGATTGTGAATTGGAAGAAGAATTCAGGACAGATTCATATACGCTGCAAAAGTGTGAGAAGGGTTTGGGTTTTTGTGTACGTAGTGAGCCATGTTCAGAGAGATATGAAGATGATTGTACAAGTGGTTTCTTTATGATTAGGCTGACATGTAATGGGATCTTTGAAACATTGAAATACCAGGCTTTGTGGGATTTCTCTTGTGTAAAGTCCAGTTGTAAACCGGTTCAGGTACAATGCAAGACTACATTTCCTTCACATGTGGAACCAGAAGACATCGATCATCTCAAATTGCTGCACAAAAAGTTTGATTACTTCTTGGGATACTTTAGTGGTGGTCCAACTCTTGCTGAAGTTTTGAATTCGAGACTAGAAGAAACTTCAAGTAGAGGATCAATGCATTGTAACAATGTTGAAAGTACAGAAGCTGCAAAGGAGTTAATATTGGAGGCATGGAAAGCTTCCGGACAGGTGGAGTTTGGCTCACTTCCCTCGATGGACTATGTTCTTGGTGACATAAATACTCCTAGCAGTGCTCATGAAATTATATCTAAGAGAATGTGGACTGGTCTAAATTTGTGTTATGTGGAGTTGGCATTTGTGAGGAATTCAGATTTGAATCACACAGGTCTTGACTTCTTGGCCATTCCTAGCTCCTCTTCCACTCAACTGCCACCGTTTCCATTTCGTGTACCGTCGAAAATTTATGGGAGATCACACTCCAAGGCCACTAAGAAGTGTGATCAAGTTGGTCCTCCCACCGAGAAGGGTGATGTAATTGATCTAGTGCCTCCCCATCTAGTTGGGCCAGTGCTCCCCCTTCCCCTTTTGCTAGCTTTTCAGATCATTGATAAAGGAAGAGCATCTTTTGTTCCTGAGATTAATTGATTGTCTGCAGATGCGAAAATAGGTAATCAATGTCAAGAACTCATCAGTTTAGCCAAGAGTTCGAAACTGCCGAAATCTCGTCCTAGACCTGAAGTGCCTTATGCTGTCTCTCTCTGATGATTATGATGTATGGACTGAGTCCCAAGACCCCGAAGAAGAGGCAGGCACTTATTTCTGCATGAGACCCAGGCAAATAATTTGGATCCTGAGAAGTCACCCCTTGAAAACCTTTCTTTTGGGAAATCAGAATTGTTAATTACAAAGACAACATATTTGATATTTTTATTACTGCATTGCATAAGAAAAATTGTGATCCTAGAGGTGAAGAGAAACTAGATGCATCAGAACTCTTTGACGAGCTAAGCCCTGTGAAGCTGAATTTTGGTGGATATAGAGTCAAAGTTGAATCAAAAGAGATGGAAATATTTAAATGCTTGAAGAAAAGATATAGAGTCAAAGGAAGGTTTCAAGCCATACCAATATTATTTGTTACCGAAGATGGAGAAAGGCGGAGAGTAAAAGATGGAGAAAGAAGATGGATGGTGACCATTTCGTAGTATGTATCTCAACTTTGAATTGGCTTTTTTCATCTGGTTTGGATTTGGTTGTTTTCTCTTTGGACTTTATTTCTTGATGTGACACTGACATTAGGTCTTAATGAGGGTGTGATATGGGCGTTTCATGTGTCAAATGCACTTTGAATTCCCTTTTTGGTGAATGGGTCCCCTCCCTATGTTGTCCCCCTCTATTCGTTTTGAATAACTGGTTTATACATAGAATTTCCTTTTCGACACAAGTGACCTTCGGTTTTGTGCTCTCCTTTCTTATGCAACATTATTCTCATGTCTTGTGATGAATTCTTCCTTTGATGTATGATGTGTGGATCCTATTTATTGATATTAGAAAATAGTTTGTGTTCTTCTTAGATTAAGGCAAAGAATAAAACGAACAAGGAACTGTATTTATTTTTTAAAGAATATATTATATTATTAATTGGAATACCTTTTTTTTTTTGGGTGCTTTGTGGTAGATAATCTGGGATCTTAATCCAAGGCCACAACGACCCATATTATTTCATCAACATCATTAGAGCCATTGACCAACTATTTACGGTTGGCTAAAAATTTCACTGTGACCCCTGTTACTTGTGATTAGTAAATATTTCACTCCTATGAGTTTGCATAGAAATAGCTTAAACACAGGTCTTATAAAAGGAGTGGAATTGCAATGAAGATTCTTTGAATTGGAAGTACAATTTTGCTATGTGGATTTTTGATTGACGAGTTCCCAAAGTCTATTTATTATGAGAGTAAGTAATGACATTTAGGAGTGGCTCAGTAACAGAACTAGAGTGCAAGTAACTTGGAATTCCAAGTTGCAACTGACAATAAATTAATGAAAGTTTTATGCAAAGTCTGGGGGTCTGTTCATTTGTTTTATGTTCTTTCTTTGTCATTATATCGTTTTCCTTTCATTTTAATTAGGCTCTGAAACATTTTATTTGCTCGAGTAAAATTCATCTTGTGACTATAAATTCAAGAATTGAAGACTCTAGAGAATTAAATGTAATTAAAACTTTTATTTTTTGAAACTCTATTTACGTGTGTATCTTTGGGAGTACAAATTTTCTGAGTCTTGAGGTTGCAATTATGAGGCTAGGATTGTGGGTCATTGAGCAAAACTGTCCATTTTGGCACCTCTGAGGTTTCTTAACTTCCATTTTTCTTGGGATGTTGCTTAATTTTTTTTGTTTTTCCACGTTGGTTCATTAACTAAACACTGTTAAATGCAGGAATCGTTTGATTTCATTGTAATTAGAGGCTATGGTGGTGGGTCTATGAGCGTAATTGTCGATTTTGGCACCTCTAAGGTTCTTAACTTCCATTTTTCTGTGATATTGCTTACAAAATTTTGTTCTTTTAATGTGGATTCATTAAATAAACTCTATTAAATCCAGGAATTGTTTGATTTTATTGCTTGTGGTTTAAGATTTGTCCAAACTGAAAATGCAGTGTTACATTCTTGATGTGATTAAATTTCATTCATTTTAAAGTTATTGGAAAGAGTAATTTAAAGTGTCAGATTCAGTCTAGATGGTTTCATCATCATCGTCTGAGCTTTATTTGGGGTTGGCTACATGAATCTTCTTCCGCCATTCTATTTTATCAAGGGTCATACCCTTAATCAAACTGTAAGTCATCATATCTTTTCTCATTACATCCATTCATATTCTTTAGCGCCTTCCCCTTGCTCTCCTATGGGGCGTTTGATAACGGTGAATGTGTGATAAAGTCCCCAACTTTCTCCTATACTATAGCTTTCCCTAGTTTGGGAACAACAAAAAGGTGGAAAGTTGGAACCACCACATTCCCCAAAACACTATTTCACTGGGGAAAGTTGCGGGACATTAGTACCCCGCTTAGCAACTTTCACGAAAAGTTAACGAGCAAAAAGTTGTAACATGGAAAAACTCATCGGGGCTATAAAGTCCAAATATCATTCACGCAGGGGACCCTTGGTTAACTCACCTCTTTGAGAAGAAAAAACTCACCACCCTCTGAGAAGAAAAATTCCTAGCAACTCAACCATCCATCTTTCTAACCCTTTCTCACTCAAAACCCTAGCAACTCAACCATCCATTGCCACTCACCCCAACAAAGCTCAACCCTCAACCAACTCCTGTCCTCCTCGCCGTAGTAGGTCTGTTCCCCTCATCGCCCCCGTTGTTGCAAGCTAAGCGCTTAGAGAAAGCTACAACAAGTCTTTTTTTAATTTTTTTATTATTTAGAGCTCAAAAACGTTAATCCAAGATCTAAATGAGATTTTATTTTTGATTTAGGTTCCTTTTTTTTTTTTATTAAGCTCAAACAAGATTAACCCCAAGTCTATAGAGAGCTTTGTTTCTTTTTTTTTCTTGGTTATGCACAAAGAAGACCCCCATATTCACTGAGTTTATTTATTTATTATTTATGTTTTATTTTTCTAGTTTGTCACATAAATTTTGATGTGCGTTTTCTTTTTATTGAGAATTACATTTTTGGGGCTCGAGAGTTTGATTAATTTGATTTTGTTTATATAATGTAAAATGTTTTGGCCTGTAGGTGTTTGATTAATTGATCATTATTGCTATCGTTGTTGATGTTGTTTTTGTGGTGTCATTGAACTAATTTTCATTTGGTTTTATGAGTTAATAATCTAAGTATTCTTTTATTCTTTTTATTTTATTTATTGCTGAGAGTTTATTTAGGAGGTTGTATTATGCAACAGGATTTGATATCTATAAAACTGGGTTCTATGCTATTGTTATTTGCTTACAGAATTTTTGGGGTTTTCTATTATTTGGTTTTTGTACTCATTGGGCTGAAATTTATGGAGGAATTCCTTTGCAAAATGAGATATTCTTGGGTTTTTCCAGTTACTTTTATCTGAGGTTTAATTTAATTGTGCTCTTGTTGAAATGGCATTATCTCTCATTGGGTAATAGAAAGCCGTGAAATGGTAAATTTTAACTGTGTTTACTTCATGTGACAAGATCATTCAGTGTTTTGAGATTAGTATATTTAGCTATACATTTTATTGATGTCGTCATTGTTTCAAAAAGGAGACTGCCCAGCGCCTAGCGGCCGCCTAAGACTTGTGCCCTACCCAGGGACGGAATTACGGCTCCTTGAGGGTATTTTTGGGTCATTTTTTTAATACTAAAGGGGCAAAATTGTGGATTTTAGGTTCATTTAAAACCTAAAACCCATTGGAGGCTATTTTAGAGAGAGAAAACCCAAAAAAAAAATATTTCTATTGGGCCGCCCAGGTTCTGGGCGCTCGCCTAGGCACTGGGCGGCTTGGACCCCTCTGACCGCCTAGGAGCCTCCTAGTGCTTTTTGAAACATTAGATGTCATTCTTGTAGCAAAATTATTTGTGATACTTATCTGATTTAACCCTTTTGGTTCATATAGTTATTTTCTTTCTTTGTAATATTCATAGGCAATTAGTTCTTTTAGTCTCTATATTCTTTTTTCATGTGTCGTGCTCGTTGATTTCTCATAACATAAAATGCATTAGATAGGCAGTAGCAAGAAAATAAGTACGGTGAATATGTTTCCAACTTTACAAACATTATGTCCATAAAAAGACATGTGTACACATAGGGGTGGCTATGTATAATACAATGCTTTCAATCAAAAAGATAATGCTAAGGAAGCAGTTCTACAATATTGTCCTTCTAGTACATGCCCGACAAACAATAGAATTTTCTTGAGACTATTTTATAGCTTGAATGTTCCTTGTTTGTGATATTTAGACTGGTGGTGCTTGGTTGAGACCATTTTATTGTCCTTCCTTTTGAGTGGAAACAGATGGATGTTCAGATGGATGAATTAAGGTGTTTTGTTGAGGTGATTTGGAGGTGTGATTCTTTCTTTGCAATAAGGTGCATGTTAGCATTGGTGCTGTAAGAAGGGCTCAATTTTTTTTTTATCTCCAGGCCCAATCACAAGGATTTCCATGGGCGGAGAGCAGATAATACTAGAACGAAATGTAATGAATGGGCTTTCAGTGACCAAGACTAGTGTAGTGAGCAAGAAAGAAAAGTAATTAACTAGGTTATTTCTTAATAAAAATTCACATGTTACTCTATTCCTATAAAATGAAAAATAGATCTTTGGGTCATCATATAAATCATATATCATTTTGTTTCCACTTGTGCTTATTTTGGAAAAGTAAGTTATTGCAGGTTGAATTCGGAATGGATATGTAGAACTTTTGCCTTCTCATATGGAGTTTAGATGGTCTGATGTATAAACAATCATGTATATGTGCTATTGTTAAATGTTCTCTCTTATATCTTGAGCTAGTTTCCCAGTTTCTTGATATTCTATGCCATTAGATTTCTACCTTGAAAATGTGCTAATAAAGACATGTTGACTCTGGATTGGCAGTGAAGAATTTAGTTGGTTGTTTGCATCAAGCAATGGAAAGACATAGTCTATATAGGCGTGTCTCAGCCCTGGTAAGTTCCTTAGGGCGTGTTTGTTTGGACAAACATTTGGCTTCAGAAACCAAATGTTCACCCGTTCTATAGCACTTCTGCGTTTGACACGCAAGAGTGCTACAGTTAAAAGAATTTCTATCTTCTTTTTTTTTTTGGCTCATATGAGAAATGTTTTGCTTCTGTTGAAACCTAGGGAAGCAAAACCTTTTACGTTCAAGCAATACAACTGTGAACAGTTTCAGAAAACCTTATGAACTTTTCTCTCTCCTACTCTCCATAAATAGACCTGACGATCCACCATTCTACCTTGGCCGCATCTTCACCCCAGCTTTGTTGTCTACATCCTGTGGCTGCCTCCCATCCCAATCTAAGCAGTTGCAATCAACCAGCTAGATCTCTCTCCTTCTCTACTCACTCTCTCTCCATGATCTCTCTCCCTCCTCCTTGGTTTGCTTGGTGTAGAAGATTCTCCACTCACTCTCTCCATGATCTCTTCTTCTCGTTTTTCTATTTCTCTATCTTGTTTTTCTATTTCTTTTGTTTGCAGGAGTGTCTCATCATTGTATATTCTTCCTTGTAGGCCTTTCTCTCTCCCTCTCTCTCCCTCTATCTCTCTCTCTAATTTGATATCATTCCTTATGGTGTGTTAAAAATATTTGCTTGTGGGTAATTCCCTTTCAGGCGCAAGCAATCTCTCTCTCTCTCATTTTATATATCATTCCTTGGGGTGTGTTGAAATTTTTGCTTGTGGGTAATTCCTTAGGGTGTGTTGAAAATGTTTGCTGGGAGACGCAGCCAAGCGCAGAATGGTGCTTGACTTCTGCACGAAATTTTCCCCAACTCTATTTCTCTATCTTGTTTTTCTTTTTCTTCACCAGCCCCCACGGGTATTTTCTCAGTCACTTCTTTCTACAAAGCTTGCCAACCTACTCCCCCACCCAATCTTCAGGCCTCTTTATATTTAGCTGGCTTTCTTTGAGAGAGCTCTTGTGGTAGACCAACTCCAAAGAAGGGGCCACCAGCTCCCTAACAGATGTTCTATGTGTAGGGAGGAAGAGGAAACTGAAGCACACCTCTTTATTCACTGCCGTGTTGCCTGCTTCCTGTGGGGTCTTTTGCTTCAGCGTTTCGGCTGGGTCTGGGAACCCCTTGCTCCATATGCCCCAACTCATCCAGGCCTTCCTCTCTCCACCTTAGTCCAGCCACTGGCAATTGCCTGTGGCGTGCCGCCATTGCTGCAACACTTTGGATTATTTGGTTGGAGTGTAACAATCAGATCTTTAGAGGTGAAACCACAACTGTTCTGGCCATGCTCCAAAAGGTAACTTCTTTCATCACCTTCTGGGCCAAAGACAACATGCTATTCCAACTTTATTCCTTTTCGGACTTCCACCTTAATTGGAAAAATCTGCTAACCCCTAGACCAGCTAGGGTCTCTTGTTCTTTGCTATGGAGACCACCTGAGCCGGGCCAAGTAAAGCTCATTTTCGATGGCTGCTCCCTCGGAAACCCAGGCCTTGCCGGAATAGGGGGAATTTTCAGTGACTCCGATGGAAATACTCTTCTATCTTATTCCCTCCTCGTTGGATACACAAACTCTGCTATGGCCTAAGCTTTAGCCTTTCTCATGGGCATCCACAAATTTGTTCCATAGTGGAGCACCACCCTTTTCATTGAGGGCGATTCAAACGTCATAGCTTGGGCATCCAGATCATCTCCCTGCCCTTGGAGATTGGTTCATGTCTTTCACGAGATTTTTGACTTTTTCAGAGATATGTGCGCTGTCTATCAGCATATATTTAGAGGTAGGCAAACACCACAGCTGACTCCCTTGCAAAAATGGAGCCCCAGTGTAGAGCACCTCGGACCCCTTTCAGCAGCTTTTTGAGCTCTAATCCCCCTCCGTAATACTTTATGTTAGAGCAATTTTTGCGGCTCGAAGGGTTATTTGTATACGAACACCTGGGTGCTTCATTTTTTGTACATCCTTTTATAGCAATGCAACAGTGATCATTTTCAAAAAATAAAAAAGTTCACT